TTTTTTCTTTGTATTTGAAGGTGGTTGGAGCTTTTGGATTGCATCTATGCGAGATTTTAACGGAATTATAATGTTTTTTTCTATGATATGTCCAAGGAATTTTACTCGTGTAAGAAAAAAGTGTGATTTATCTGGGGCTGCTTTGATGTTTTCTTGTAGTAATATTTGATGATATTTTTGTAAGACTATGGAAATTCCATAAAATTATCTGTTGAATTCGTATTGTTGATTTCCAAAAACGAATTGTATTAATCGTGGTGATTGTTAATCTAGTGGCATTTGATTATATGCACTATTCATGTCTGCTGTTGTGAATTATTTACCGTTTATTTTTGTGAGAGTTACTTGAAGTGGTTCAATAGGCCAATTACATTTAGACTTATCAATTAGCTAATTGAGATATCTTGCATCTAGAACGATTGTTAATGATTCTCCTTTTGCTAAAATGATAACGGGGCTTATAAATGTGTTACATTCTGGCTTTTCCTTTTCATTTACTGGAGAGATGATTTCATATTGTTCTAGTATTTCAAGTAATCGGTTAACTTTATTTTGCAAGTGAATTGGAACTTTACTTGGTCGTTTTTTTTCTGAAAACTGCGTCAGGTTTTAGAGGTAAATGTAATAGTGAATTTACTTTTCCAACATCAAATTTTTATGTTGCATAAACGTTTGGGTATTCTAATAATAATTCAGCTAATTGTTCGAATCCTTTTTGTGTTATCTGAGAGTGTTGAAAATTAAACATTGTTAGAAATTTTTGTGTTTTGATATTTGAAATGTCGGTTTAAAATAGGGCGTTTTTGTGAAATAATCGGTGTTTCGTTTTTCATTGCTCAAAAAATTATTAATTTACAATTCTTCGTCAAGACTTGATGATTGACATATATCTAATAAGTGTAAAACATTATTTACTCTAAACGCTATTTATTTTGTGGGTGAAATTGTTGCGTTAGTTTCACAATAACCTTAGAGTCCTGGATGTAAGGTTATTTAATATGGAGAATTGTTATAGACGTGTAAAGAAGTCATATCGGAGTTTGAGTCTTTCATGTATTTGATAGATGAAATTGTTACTCTGAAAAATTTATTAATTGGTCTGAATTCAAGGTCAGACATGAAAGGATGTTGTTTATTTTGTTCTTTATCATATTGGTGAACTTGTTTTATTGAAAAGTTATACACATTTCTTGATAGTGGTTTCAGGTGTTTTTAATCCTGGTTGTTTATGGGGTAAAATTTAGAGAAAAATCGTAGTTGTTTGTTTATTCTTTGAAAAAATGTCAAAGCTGTGTTTTTCATTCTTGTGTATTTATCTTTCATATGAATTCTACTATTTAAGATAATCAATATTGGTATATATTTAATAATAAATCAAATTCCAATGATAATATGTTTTATATCTCTGACGTGGAAGGTTTGTTTAAATGGTTTCCTCATGAGTTTGTTTTGTTCCATTTTTTGAGTGGGGAGTAAAAGTTGGATTTTTCCATAATTTGTTAAGGTTGATCCTTGTGCGGTTGCTAGTTTGCTTGATTTTTGAAGGGTATTAATTTTGGGTGTATAATTTTTATTTCATTCTAAGTGGCAATGTTTATAAAATTTGCTTCTGCTCCAAAATCTATTAGAAAATCTACTTCAAGGTCTGGTGTTTGCAATTGTTTGGATTTTGGACTTTCTAAAAGAAGTGGGATTGTCCAAATTTTTTTGTTTTGTACCTGTGGTTCTTTAGGTATATTTTGATAAATGTAATTTGTGCTTGAGCATTCTGTGGGTTTTTCTTCTTTTATTTCTTCTACCATTTTCTCTAATTTTTCTCTTGTGCCATTTGATACTGGTCTTATATAATAGGTCAAAAGAAATTGGTCATGGTTTTGATATATAAAAGAATATATCGGTTGTTCATTTATAATAGGTTCATAGTCATTTTCAATGTTTATCATATTAATTGAAATTGTGTTTTCTGTCTCACTTTCACTGTCTGTGGATTCGCAATTTATGTGATTTAATTGTGATTCTGTGCTTTCGTCGTTTTTAATACCAGGGGGGTCTGGTTGAGTTTCCTCAGTCGATTGTACTTGATTTATTTATCTTTGATGTTTAGGTGTACTACTCCTATAATTTTGTGGTGAATTTTGTTAACCTGTGTTATTCCTATGAGGTGATTGAGAGTAGTTCCTTTGTCTATTGTTATAGCTTGAATTTCTGTTCTGTGAATTGTCGCGTGATCTATTTTGATAATTATTATATTTTGATCTGTTGTTAGATTAATCGCAAGATCGATTATTTTGATATCTAGGATTTCGATTGTTTGTATAATTTCTATCCCTAGAATTTGATTGAGAAATGTTAATAACAAAAATTCAGGTTGGTTTGAATTTGATCTTGAATAGTTATTTCGATACTGACTATTTCGACTATGTGATCGACTATACCTGTTTGACGAGAAATTTCATGAATTTCTTTGGTATGGTGATTGTCCTCCATAATTTGTATTATAGGGTGATTGTTGTCTGGAGTAATTTGCGTTATTTGCAAGTGGTTTTCCTGAACTGTTATTACTATAAAAGTTTTTGTTGGGTAATTTTTTATCTTTCTTCATGTATTGATAAAATGATTTGTTAGGTTCTCTACATTTTTTTGGTTTATTTTGGTTTTTGTCTGCATTCAGCAATGCTGTGTCCGCATCGTCGACAATAATTACACAATTTTTTGAAAGATGGTTTGCCTTTAAAGTTTGGGTTTTTCTCGTAGATGTTCAAAACTTCAGTGATTTTTTCGGATAATTCTGTATCAGAGTCCTTGATATTTTTTATCTGTGAAATAGTCGTTTGGATGTTGTTTACATATTGTAGCTTTAGGTTTTCTGTTTCTTCTAGTTTCAAAGTGATTTTTGCATTGCTCTAGTTTATCTACTAGTTTCCTAAAGTCTAAATCTGGTTCTCTGATTGAGAAAGGATGTGATCCTCTCTTTTTTATTGCTATTGTTTGTAATTGAGGTGTTAGAATCATCATTAAAATCTCTGTCATTTTTGTATTTTTATAGTCATGAGTGTTTAGTGAATATGCTTTTCGGACTAGTGTTTCGATCCTTACTGCTAGTTTCAATTTCTTATTTTTCGCAGTAGTTTCGAAATCCACGTCATGAACTCCGGTCTGCTGAGATAAAATTAGGAACGCTTTTAAAGAATTGAAATGATACGGGTCTTCAACAAACCGTTTCAAGGTTTCAGTTTCAAGTCGAGACTGTACAGGTCACGCGCGCCCGGATCTAGACTCAAACTGTAGAGTTGCTCCAAAAGTCTGAGCCATTTTTCACTCGTTTTCCAGACTTTCGCGACTTCAAGTCCAATCTCTTGTGACCAAGATTTTGTATGACCAGACTTTAGCAACCCGCGGCGCGACCTACGGCCCGACTATTGCGACTCATGTTCAGACTTTCCAGACTCAAACTCTCGGCGAGACTATGCCATTTGTGTCTGGATCCGGATGCGATGTCCCCTCGGCGCGACTTTCGCAACCCACGGATCAATTTTATATCCAGATTTCTAGACTCAAAATCTGGATGCGACTTCGCAGTTTGTGCCGGAATCCGGATGCGGTGCAACTTTCCCAACCCACGGAGCAAAACTATTTAAAGACTTTCCAGACTCAAACCTTCGGCGCGACTATGCAATCTGGGTCTTAAATCCGGAAGCGGCGCGAACCAAGTCGCGACTTTGTGTCCAGACTTTCCAGATTTTTGTATAGAACCTCCAATATTGAAATCAAAGTGTCATAGTTTATTTTCAAAAAGTATTTAGATATTACATCAAAATAAAATACTTATAAGGTAGGGGTAAAAGCAATCACATTCCTAAAAACATTACCACCCGATGCCCGGGTTTACTAAAAATGCTAGTCATGCAATTTTAATTCCATAAGTAAACAATTTGCATGAAAAATCTATGATTAGTAGATTTTCATATATGGAAATTGTATGACTAGCATTTTCCCATTAACAAAAATATTTTTTATAATTTTAAAAACTTAATTTCTCAAAATTTTTGGGATGTGTTGGTGGCCGAACACAATTGACGAAAACCATATTAACTCAAACAAGAGCTTTCATACACATATCAGATACTGAAAGACTCATATTATCAGACATTGGTCAGGGCATACATAAACATGCCATACAACAGAAATAAGAGTTTTTAGCGTTTTTGAAAAAACTTATTTAGAAAAACGAAACTCTTACGTTTTGGCAAAAATTTCCAGAAAAGATTATTTTCAAAGTTTGAGTTTTTAAATTATCAGACATTGATCACAGCATACATAAACATACCATACAGCAGAAATAAAATTTTCTAGTGTTTTTGAAAAGACCATCTAGAGAAACTGAAAAAAAAACTAATTTTTGTGTATTCAAGACTATGTTATGCAACAAAAAGTTAAATTTTGCAGGCAACATTTTTTTTGAGAATTGCTCGCTTGAGTACAAAATTAATTTGCGGTTGAAAAAAAAAATCCAAAAAAATTTTATGGCAATTTCAAAATTACTGGGAAACATTTCTGTTGTTGCCATCAAAAAAATGCTATTCATACAATTTTCATATATGGAAATTGTATGATTAGCATTTTTTGACAAAAAAAATTCTTTTTTATTTAGTACCATACACCGACTTTTATGCCAAAACAATAAAAAGTTCTTTGATAATTCTATGGCACCATTCTAGCTCAAAGCATGAAGTATGTATGAATAGTATTTTTTCATAGACCTAGTTTATGGAATTCTATGATTAGCATTTTTGGTCTATGGAGGTCAACCCGGGTGTACGTTTATGGAGTATCGGATAGTTTTGTCCCATTGTTTTTCCCGAATTTTTTCTGAAAGTGCCTAATTGATGCTTCAATGAACTTTTTTTCTCTGGTCGTTTTTTTTTCAACGTTTTAACTTTTGTGATTTGATTTCACAAGACTTGAAGGGTTGGATAAACTCAAATTAAGTCAGCACAAACCAGATTCATGGCGCTGTTAGTCACAAAACTAGAACAGATTTGCAAGTTTTATAATCTATTCTCTTCCCAGAATAAATAATTGCACTTTAACACAGTTTTTGAAGTAATTCGTTCTAATTTGAAGGCCAAAACTTTGAATTCCAAAGAAGGTAAGTTTTCAGTAGTTACCCGCACCGGAGTTCCATGGATAATAATCGATTATATTGAATTTTCGTGGTCTGTCTCAATAAATTTCGATAATAATCGATTATAATCGATTAAAAATGGATTATAATGATACTATTTTTCTAAGCAACATAATCCCAATATAATCGATTATAATCGATTATAATGGATTATAATCGATTATTTTTGAAAGAGAATATAATTTGTTTTTAAAGCAAAATAATCCATTTTTAATCGATTATAATCCATTATAATTGATTATAATGGCAAATTTCTTCTTTCAAATTTTCAGGGAAACTGTTACCAATGTCAGGTGCTTAGTATGGAATAAATTAAATTCAATATATATTTTCCTAATTTTTTTTTCACAATTTTTTTTTTGAAATTTTCGAAAAAAAAGTTTTGAAATTGTGCGACCTCAAATTGACTTTAAAACGCAATTAGACCTAAACATGACAAAATATGACTAATTATTATATTTATATTATTTCAACATGCCCTGGAACGTTTAAATTACCCATTACCCAGACCTGGAACGGTTATATTAAACCCAGAACTTTACCCTGGGACGTTAATCAAAAAATTGTTACTAGAATTTTTTGGTCGGGGCTGGCAGCTATTATGGTAAATGGTGTTCGCAAACAAAGAAGACTTGTTATAATCATAAGATTTGAATTCTACTTTACTGGGGGGATTGAATTATGCATCCTGTAAAACTTTTAAAAAGTCTTTTTTGTTTGTCCAGACATAGAAAGAACTAAAAATAGAATAGCCTTAATTAACGAATTAAAATGGATTATAATGGATTTTCTTGACAAAATAATCGATTATATTGAAGAAAAAAATGGATTATAATGGATTATAATGGATTTTTATTTTTCAAAAAAATCGATTATAATGACCACATAATCGATTACGTGGTCTAAATTTGCCACAATAATGGATTATAATGGATTATAATGGATTATAATGACAACATTTCAGACAACATTTTTCCAATATAATCGATTATTATCCATGGAACTCCGGTGCGGGTAAGCTGAATTAGACGTATTTGCAAATAAACAAATAGAGCAATGTGTCGGTCGACTAAATTTAGTTGCTTCAGGTAAATTTACTTGCAGGAAATGTAAATTATGAAAACCCTCTGTAAGCGAAAAACATTTTAAACAATGACTAAGACGTACGCTTCCTTTCAGATGCTAAGTAAAACGCTATTTTAAACATTTTTCACACTTTTTTCTTTGTATAGGCAATAAATCTATCTGATTAAGGACTCAGAAAGCGGCTTTACATTGTTTATCAAGAATTGCAAATGATAGCAATAGTCTTTAAAAAAGTACCGCGCAAATTTGCGATAGCGCAAATACCCGAAAACTTGAAATAAAATTGAAACAGCCGAAAAACTGTAAAAACTAAGATTACCATATCCGAAGCTTGAGTTCATCTGCAACAACACGCCTAGACCCCTAATTTTTTTTTTCAAAATCAGGACATCCCTCTAGGCAGTTTGGAAGCAGTAGTTTTCAGTTGTGATAATTTCTTTGATAGATCAAATGGTTCTTGTTAACTATTTTCTATTTAAGACGAAAATTGTTTTCGCTTAATCTTTCAGTTAGTCATTTATCGGGGGTATAAGTATTGGTTACTAGTTGGTACAGGTGGTTTTAATGACTACATCCGATTGGTTTAGCCTCAACACTTTGTTTTCAAAATGTTGCCGACGACAGCGATTCATGATTAAGTCGCGCACGGCGCAACTCCACTATGGGCAGTAAAGACTGTGTCTAACTCATTACTTACTTTTGCCTTCTTTGTCTGATGTTGCCCTAAAATACATCAGAGGTACTTCATAACTAGTAACTTGCCTTTGGCTCAGATCATAAAGTGCCACTTGACATTGCCCCTTAAAATATCAAATTATTACTCAATTTGAACATTTTTGCTGTGTGAAACGTCCGATTACAATTTTTCTCATAAGAACTGCATGCAGTTTTTTTAACTGTTTTTTTTAGTAAACTCGATGAAGTAGTTGGCCTCAATATCTTACTCAATTAACCAGCATACTATTTTTGCTTAAATGGATTGTCATGGATCGAATCATGTTTTTGAAGAGGTATTTGTCGTTTGATTTAAAATTTCTCAAAGATGCGTTTCTGTACACAATAAACTTAAGAGTTCATATGTGGTGCAAAAGTGTCACATATTGAGTTATGTACTATGTACTGTACTCATAGAGTAATTTCAGATAGGGTACACCGTCTGCTCGTCACGCTATCTTATTTTCGGCCGGATAGATTCGTGCAACTTCTTAGTCTAATACCGATCTTAATCTTACTCTTATATCTCCTAGTCTCAATAGATCTAGTGTACACCGCTTTACGCGAGTTAGTTCCAGAATGAGAACAACTGTATTCTAAGTTTAATTCAAACTGTTCTGATGTTGAAACTACAAGTAGTTTCAACAGTTTACAAATAAATAGGTTGTTAGTTTGATGGAGAAGATTGGTTAATATTTAATATTTTATAGAGATAAAATTAAAATATCATAATAATAACCAATGATAAATACTAGTTTAGATATGGTTCCACCCATCCGGGGTTTAGAGAGTTTTAGTTTTCCAATGTTCTTTATTGTAGTGGAGGATGGATGGTGGTGTTTTTCTTTAGAGGTTGCGAGCATATTATTTTTTCTGGTTTGGAAGAAGAGTTGTCATCACGATCGTTTCGGGAGATCGTATCATGATTCTGATCGATTGTGATGAGTGTTGATCTGGTAGATAGGAACATTTTTATTCTCAATCTCATCTGGGAACGGTATGTAATTCGTCTTTGGATGCAGTGCCTGGTGACTTGGATCTGTACGTAAACTTGAACATCGAGATGGCCATTGTTCTGTTTGTAATGGGTTTCCTTTGCTGCGATGCCAAGTCTTACTTCACATCCATTGAGTGTAGTGATTGCAGGCAGCATGTCAGGTGGGTTTTGCCATTCCGTAGTTGGAGTGTGATTGGGTTGTCAAGTTCCTTGCTGCTCGTCTTTGGGCTGTATAGTATGTATTTATTGCATTGTATTAGTTTTTATCGCAAAAGCGTTTTTATTTAGTTCGGTTATTTTAAAGAGCTACTCACACTTGAGTAACTCCCGTCAAAAAAAATTTCGTGGGTGTCACAAAGCGTGGATGTAGCACGGTGGTTAAGGCCGGCTATAGAGCATACTCAGGACGTCCTCTCCTGGTGGGTTGGGCCACAAGTGAGGGTATAATTTAATGCTCTCTTTTAAGAGAATCCTGTTTTAGTTCACCTCTTCATGCTATTTTTTATCATTAGTGTTTTCTTTTGTTTTCATAGTTATGTCTATTTCTCAAAAATCAAATTGTTTGTTTTGGGTTTGTCTTTCGACTTTTCGTTGTTTTTGTTCTTTTGTGTTCAGACTTAAAAGTAGTCTTCAAAAGAATAATTTATCTATTTCTAAGCTGGTGTTAATCCAGTTTGGGTACCGTGGGTTTTCTTTTCTTGGTCATGCTGTTAGGTTGTGGTTTATGGTGTATAATAAGCCTGCGTTGGTTAGTTCAGATTATTATATAATTCCTTTCCAACCGGGTTATAGGAAAGTTTGAACCGTGTTAAAGCTTGTTAGAGTTGTTATCAGTGAAAATTGAAACTTAAATTCATTATTTTAAACAATTATTTGTGGGCGAGCAAAGCAAATTTGGATAGTATTTATGGGCGAGAGTATACAAAGAAGCATCTGTAAAAAGGTTAGTACTGCTATCTGCAATTTATGAACAATTTTTAATTATTTACTACTGGAAAATTATGAAGTTTACTGCTTGATTTGGGGGTTGAAATCATTAATTTATATTCAATTGTATGAATATTTACTGCTTTGGTGAAAGGAATTTATATATTAATTCACTGCTCTGTGCAGGAGAATTTTATTGCTTCAATTATTAGATAGGTTAACAGAAATTTATGAATTGATTGAAAATTTTCTGTTTTTTAGTTTGCTTTTTGTTTTGTAGATGATTGATGATTGTGCCTATGAAAAAAAAGGAAAACCTTGAACAAAAATGGTTAGTGTTGTTTGAATTTATTAGTGAAATATTGAATTCATATTACCTAATCGTCGGTGAAGAAGCCATGGGGAAAAACATCGTGGATGGTATCAGATGAGGTTAGTAGTTTAACTAACAAACGAATGATGTGTTTAGTTTGCAGAAGTGGCCTAAGCAATTCGAGTGTTTTAATGATGTTGTGCTCTTCAATGTTAGGTGATTGTTCATACGGTGTGTTTTGAATAAGATTATACAATTTGTGATTATAGCGAGTGTTATATATAAAATCTAGGATTGGGACTTCAACGGGCTGGAGGAATTCGTGAGTGATAGTTATTGAGCGGGATTCGTCTACATTTAGGAGTTTGGTTAGGGGACAGAAGATATACATCTGAGTGATGGGATCATAATTTCGGAGGGTGCTTTGTAAGTTAGTGTCATTAATACAACAGGTGAAGTTAATAAAAAATAGTGATGTGTATTTAGAGTTAATATATTGATATCGGTGGTGAGGTTGTTGTGCTGGTGTTTTGAGGGTGTAATGGTGTTGAATGAATTTGTAATGAGTTTATGTATGTGTTTGTTTAGTTTGTAACATGACTTCGTATGAACAGTGCAAATCACATTGTTTGGGTGTGAGGAAATGAAAGTTTAGTGAAAAGTGGTTAAATTTGTTAAAGTATGAATCATAAGCATGAATATTTTGTAGTGCTGCTGAGATAACGTTGTCATATTTTTAAATTAAGATGTTGAAAGTGACGGTGTATGGGGTCTTGATGAAAAATTTTTCAGTTAGTTGGGGGTTAGCAAATGGGTCGTTGTTTAGAAAGAGGTCTTCATTAGGTCGAATGATGTTATGGTCGTAACAATCTCAAGAATAATCATCAGCTTTAGGTGCTGTGACTTTGGTTAGTGATTTTTTGTAGCCTATTTGCGTAA